CCGTTTTCAACGCTCCTCTTATTTTCGTTCATTCCGTATTCTCACCGGAGGTAAATTTATCTTATCGAGGGACTCGAAAGCGGAACCATTATTCCTTCTTTTTCATAGTAGAATAAATAGCGGTTTCAAAGTTTTGCAGGCCGCGCAACGCGAGTACGCCCCAACTGTTTTCGATTTCCTGGGAAAAGCTCCGTTGGAGATTCGAACCCGGCGGCGACTTCCGGACGATTCTTTAATTTGTGCGATACGAGCAGTCGCTGTCTACAGCCTGACACTAGCAGATGGGTTAAAATCATCTGTTCCTTGATTTTTTGCGAGGTACGAACGCCTCTAAGGAATTACTGAAGACGCTGATCGAGTAACGGCTAAGCTGAAGTTTAAACCAATTCGAATCTTAATAACGATTGTAATTTTTATAGACATTTTCAAAGTCGCTTTAAGTGCTCGGTGGTTCTAGTGTCATTCGATGCGTCCTTGGAACTGTTCCATCATTCATAATATAAAATATCAGTAATTTGTACTTTACAAACTCTATAACCGACTCATTCTCTCAAAAGAGTACTCTTCAACCCTTTGCGGACGGATGTCGTTTTACCAAGCTCAAACTCACATATTTAGAACACTCAGTTGTGAACAATTTGACAACTCAAACAGCAAGGGATCAGTACATAGTTTCCCTGTATTAAAAGCATCCGATATATAATTCAGCAGAATGTGTTCAAGGCTCTGTACTTCAAAGAATCTTCGTCCGCAAAGGGTCAATCCTTATTCTGCAAGCACGAATCAGAGCTGCGTTTGAAAGTAACCAAAGGATTTTCAAACATAAAAAGAAAGATGATTCAAGCCTTTGCCTTACAATATCGTGTGACACTCGTGGTGAACATTATAAATAGAATTGAACCAACATTAATATTACTCCTTTGAATTCGAATAAAGTATTCTTTTGTTGCCAATCATTAGATTGTAGAGCAAACGTATATACATCGAATTTTTCTCTTGTATTACTAAGTTATTACTGACAAAGTGTTGGTCACAGTTGAAGAATCAAAGGGCAAGGGCTTAACAGCTATTATCAGTGTATCGAAATTGAGCCATAAAACAATGCAAGGCCGCATGAATAATGCCTGAAAACCATACAGCTCCTTCCTCCATGCAGCTTCCGCGAGCGAGAAAGCCAACAGCCCCTAACGGTCACCTGAAGGGCAGCTGTCGGCCATCTAGCGGCGAGTGCGCGAACTGAAACGCCCGCTCGATGGGCAACGAGGTCCGGCGTCGCTTCCGGCTTCCGTAAATATTGAAAACACTTACGTGGATGGTCCCTTTGTTTAGGAAGGGTTCTGCAGGCCCTTTATCGGCGCCTGTTGGACACGTATCGAGGAAACAGCCACTGGAAAGGCACAATGTCCCATGTTTGCGAACGATGCCGGCGCCGCTGCCGTAGACACCAAACACCGACGCGAGCTGCTCGCTCCGTATCCATTTTCCTCTCGGCTATCTCTGGTAGATGCTTATCCCGGCGATCAGCTGTCGTAGATATCGACCTTGGCCGATATACCTGAAGAAAGTCAGAATCGGCAGGTTAGTCCGAGGAAGCGAAAAAGATAGACGCGGCTCTCCTCGATTCCGGTGAAGAGTTTCATCGATACTACGCGGGAACGCGAGACTTCCGGCCTTGCCATCCCCCTTTCGCGCGGATGTTGTCGGGGGGAGAGAATCATTTCTAATTGGTTCTCGAACGGAACGCGCGCCGGGGGATCTTAATTTAATCCCTTCGCGTCGCGATCCGTCGCCGTTTCAAAACCACTCCATCCGTCCCCGTTTTTCTCCCCCGTCTTCCTCGGCCGCTCTCTCGCGAGGCGTTTGAAGAATATTTGATACGGATAAACACGAACCTTGGCCCCGAGGCGAGGATCGCCGAGGAATCAGGTCAAACGCGGTCCTTTCGGCCACCATGCCGGAAAGAAACGGTCCAGAGATTCCGCCGGGCTCCAAAGGGAAACTGTCGGGTCGTTTCAATTTCAATCGTAAACGACATTAAGCGTTGTTCCCCGTGAACCTCTCCGAGCTACGAAATTGATAATGTCCGCGCAGACCTCCGAAAGAGGACTCGCCGAGCCCCGAAAAGTTCGTTTCAGAGGACCGTCACGATTCAGCCCGTCGTCCTCGTCGCCAGGTGATTCCAGAACGAAAGTTGACCGAGTCGGGGAATAAACGGGGTCGTCGGGGCTCGAATAACGTTCCCAGGAACGGTCGAATCACTTTTGACCGGATGCCAAGCGAGTTAAGCGATGGGACGGGAGCCAATAAATACCGCGCGCCGCTCTGTATTCCGTCCGCGGCGCGGACAAGATCCCGACGAGAGAATCATCGCGGAAATATTCCTACTCCGGAGCTTATCGGAGCCCGAACTTCCCCGCTCCGGGAACTTTCTCGCAGCAAATGGACAGAACGGAACGGGATTAACGCGAGGAAGCGGGGTCAGCTTCGCTGTCAGCTAACGACCCTTATCGAAAAACGATCCCGCTGCATCGGGGCGCGATTGTGTCCTCCTTGGGCCGAACTTTATCAATGGCAGGCTGGACGGAAGAGGAACGGGGAAGAAACAGTCGCGGGAAGAAAGAGAGCGCGACGTAACGAGCGTTCTGTTCCTGTCCTGACGGTTCTCAACTTATCATAGACAGCGCTATAAATCGCAAATCGCGAAACTGCATCGAATTTCGAGACGGTAGATCGTGCTTCCGCGAATATATTTTCTCTAGGGGATACGGAAAATTTCATTGGGCATCGGGGACGGTTGAGAACGGCCGCGCTCAGAAGTGGGCAATGGCGGCGAGGGACCGAGGACAACGAAGATGGCGCGCCCGTAAAGATGGCGGACGCCGCGAGCCAAAAGCGTGGTATTCGTTTTAGAATTCCTTCGCTTTACCGATTTTCAAAGTGGTAAAGCGTTTGAAATCTGAAACGAATGCGCATAAACCTTCATCGGAAGCCGGCGCGATGGCCGGCGGGAAGTTACGACGGAGAATACCGACGAGGTTCCAGCGGCGACGCGAGTTTTCCCGAGGAATTCGCCAGGATATTTCATCGGGCCGCGAGAAATGTTTCGTTACCACGGAATTGAACTCGGAGGACATTTTTCTCTCCCCGGACGGCTTTTCCGGGCCACCTCCGACGGGACGGGCTCGACGCGAACCGGATTATCCTGCGAAAAGTTGGAGTGTCTCGCGGGATATTCCGCTTTGATCGAAAAATATCGCGTAATTGACGGCGCGGCCCGATTAAATTCTGTTATCGAATTTTACGGGGCTCTCCTCTTCCTTCTCGTTTATCTCGGCCACGGCATTCCCGAATGCGCTTTTTGGAAGTCGCGCGCCGAGGCTCGCGATAACGGCCGAGGAAATTCGTTCGCCGAGAGATATCGCGAGACTACAAAGGAGATCGGAGTTTCGCGGGAACAAACTGACGAACTAATTACAGAGCAAAGGACCGTACGCTTGTCTAGCTGATTCCCCGCGCGCGGTCCAGATCGGAGAAAGATTTCGAAGTACGGCTCGCGTAACTGCGTGCACGCCTCGCTGAATTGCGCGTATTCTTCGAGGGTAGAACAATATTTATGTACCTCGCAGTTTTAAAAGAGAAAACGCTACCTTCGGAGCTGCCCATCTAAATAAGCAGACGACTCGGGGAACCAGAATTTCCTGCTCGCAGTTATTTCATCGAAGATTTCTCGAACGCGGAAGATAAACAGGGAGGAGAAAATATTCCGAGGAGTTTCCGATTGTATATTTATTCGATCGAACTCGAGCAGCAGTTCACCCTGTTTGTCGTCTTCCGGCGCGAACGGAGCGTCGCCGCGGTGCAACGCCTCGCAGAATCTCAAGATCCCGTCGTTGCCGGTGAAAAGGGAACGGGCAGAGGCGTGCGAGGTGTCTCTTGAAGTATTGGAGAATCCGAGGGAAATGATTCTAAGCGAGAAACGTATTGCACGCGGAGAAGAAAATGAAATTTTGTCTATACCACCGATGAGAAAATGTTATTTCACGTTTCTCACTGATGTAGTTCGATCCACTTTCGTCCCACGCCACGATTTCGGCGGCACCCTGTATATAATCCGTCGGATAATCGTGAAAAAGTTCGCGAGCTATCCTTAAGGCTTAACTGCCCTCCATCTTGGAGACCTCTTAGCTTTATTGCTCGCGAAAGCGGCAGCTGTCGATTCCTTCGCGTCTCAAACTCCCTTTTCACCCTGGGTTATTGATTTTGTTTCGTTACGCGATGAGCGGGGGTTCCCGGGGAACTTTAAACGTCGAGAACTCGATTCGATTGGGTCTCGCTCGATCGGAACCGTAGTCGAGCGTTTCTCGGCAGCCTCGTCGCGTTCAAAAGTTCGTTTGAAGCTCCGATGCGAAATCGCATGATTTCAACGGGGAACGCGTGTCCGAGAGGTTTTCCAAATGTACGAAGAAACCGCCGGCAGTTAGTCGTCGATCTTCGGGGGATCGTTTAACGACGGGCGAGTGTTAAGCAGCGAACGGGCTGTATCGTCGTAAACGTTGTAGCCAGACCGTCGGCGCGCCCGGCAGCGAAATAAACGATCGCTGAGAGTACCATCAACTTCGATTTCGAAGGAACCGTCGGGTAATTGGAAACCCCGGGGATTATTCTTCCATGGGAGTACCATTTTAACGGGCGGCGCGCGCGTCGCGTGCTCGCGCACGTAAACCCCTGTGCCAGACTGGCAGCGGTCTTTCGCGGATTGAAAGAGTTCCTCTCTCGTTCTCCTATCTCCGCCCGGGTCCTTAATGGAGCCGCGTAACGTTCGAGATAAATTGCCGAGGCGAAAGACCTTTCTCCCGGCGCAAACTATTTATCCTGAGCCGAATGCCGCCTCGAACGGTTCTCCTAATGGAACAAGGAGTGTCCCGGCGAGACGGGCCGCGGAGCGGATTCCTCCGGACGATTCGTCGAACAAACGACGAATTTATTTCGAGCTGTGCGTCGGATCAAAGGGACCATCGAAATTGATTAGATCGTTCGCTCGGACTCGCCCCGAGGTTCGATCGCCTTTAATCCCAGCCGAATGGCAGCCGGGAACCGCGGAGCTGCCGGGAAACGTTCCTCTCGCGGAGGAGCGAGTCGGTGCGTTTTATATTTCCGCGGCGAAGGATTATTCCGTGGCCCCCGGGGAGGGAAAGGGGCCGGCAACCGAACCGTGATCTAATCGCGCGGCATTTTTCTCCCGCTGATTCCCATCCGCCCGTGATTCCAGCCCGATAGGGTGGATAGCGACGTTACTTCTGCCGGTTCCACGAAATTCGAGCAATTTCCCGTGCAGCCGGGGAACGGGCTGCTCGTTTACCCGGACGCGAAACCGGAGAACGCCGGTAAGGTTACAACGGAACGGCCGGTTTTTAATCAAGCGTCGCGGAATCTCGCGGAATTCTCGTGGAATCCCGTTGAATCCCGCGGACCGTGCGCCGCCATTTCATGCTCCGTTCGTCGGCAAGATGCCGGGGAGAATGGGAGTAGTAACGGTGATTAGATTTCGGATCGTATCGCGAGCAGATGTCT